TTAATAATTAGAATAGGGGTTTTGGGTTATATTATACTAGAATTATCATAGGGAACCCCTAAAAGAGTATAGGTAATTATTAAGGCCCCTATATTACCCCTCAGCCCGAAGCCACAAAGGTCTCAGAAGGCCTCCGAGATGCAACCCACCGTGAAGAACAGCGGCTGGTCCTTTAAAGTTTAGGGTTCAGGGTTTAAGGGTCTATAAGGTTTATAGGGTTTGGGGTTTAGGGTTCCGGGTTTCAGGATCTATAGGGTCTAGGGGCCTTGGCGTTTTGGGTGGGGTTTCCAGGCTTCGGGGCTGAAGAAACTCGTTATCTAGGCTGGCCCTGCTGAAGCAGGCTTTGACAAATGCGCAAGATCCTCGTAAGCCCATGAAAGGGAAAGATACAACATGTCCCAAAGGCCCACCTAGTTTTGGAGTGTGTCACAGCTTTTCAGCGGTGCGGGTTTCGCAACGACTTAAAGAACCCATGCGGGTTTAGGGCTAAGGCTTCAAGGTCGGGTTTAGGCAATTAGAACAGGGTTTTGGGGTATAACACTATACGATACTGTTCGTAAGGAACCCTAAGGAAGACTATAGGCAATTATAATAGGCTTCTATATTACTTTATGAGCATCGGGTTCAGGGTCTTGGACCATGAGTTGTGGTGGGGGTTCGGATGGGGCTTTGCGTCACAGCGTTGAGCTTCGAGTTTTCCCGGGCGCATGACCAAAACGCTAAGTAGTTGAAAACCCTAAACAATAAACAACGATAAGCCTCACGCCCCACACCATCAAAGCTTTATCCCAACATCCGAAGCCCTAAAACCCTTAAGGGTTTTAGACCTAGCCTATACCCGCAGACCCTGAAGCCTATTGAATCCTGAGCTCTAAGAGCCTGATTTAGGATCCATGGACGAGACACCCTGGTGATGATGGCTCCGTCGTTATATCTGCCCCTCTGGCCGTCGACAGACACCTGACGGAGGGGTCTAGGAGTTTGGGGCTTAGAGTGGCGGGTTTAGGGTTTAGGGTCTAGGAAGGGTGGGAGTGTCTGGGGTTTAAGATTCAAGCCTCTTAAGGTTCAGGAGCTTTGGGCCTCAGCCAAAACGAGGCCGTACATGGGTAGTCCTCTAAATTCTGGATTTGGCTCCCTTTTTAAGCCCCCACCAAAAACTGCAGCACCTTATGAAAAGACCCTAAACCCTAAACCCTAAACCCTAAACCCTAAACCCTACAAGGGACCCTACTGTTGAACAATGAGACCTTCAGCGCATCTGCGCTCAGAAACCTTATCTCCTGCCTCCAAGGCCTCCGCCGCAGAACAGGTTAAGGGGTTTAGGGTTTAGGATTTAGTGTTTAGAGGGTTTAGGGTTTAGGGTTTTAGAGGGTCTAGAGGGTTTAGGGTTTAGGGCCCCCGAGTATCTTTAATAGAGCCCTCATGGTCCGTAATGGTGGCATGTTAGGGTACATTAGAGGGTAGTTGGGGGGGTGTAGGGTTTACCTTAACCCCGCTGATGGTTCCTCATTGCGATTTCCTTACATAAGTCATTAAAACAAGGTAGGTTATTTAGGGTTTATAGGGTCTAGGGTGTCGGAGTGAGGGTGAGGGCTGAGGCTTTCGAGTAGCTTACAGGCCGGGCCGGGCCGGTAGTAGCCGCCTGTCATCTTCGAGTCGGCTTGTTCACTGTCTCGGGCGTTGAGATGCGATGAGTTTGATCATTGCAACCGTTTGATATCTTGCTTCCCAAAACTATAACCCTAAACCCCTAAAAAACCCCTAAGCCCAAACCCCTAAACCCCTAACCCCTAAACCCTGAACCCTAAAACCCTCAATCCTAAACCCTTTAGAAACCTAGACCTTGGCAAGATCCCCTACAGCAACGAAACCCCCAGGCCCCAAAAACAGCGTTCGTGGGATGCCAAGATCTGAGCAAAGGTGCAGACCCAAAGCCCGAAGCGCTCATCCCAACCCTATTATGCCTATAGTCTCCATTGTAGTTCCTTTTGTTGGTTTAACCAGTTCTATATTAAGGATTCTATAGGGTAGCTCCAAAAAGGAACTACAATGGAGACTATAGGTAGTGGCCTTAATAATTAGAATCGGGTTTTGGGGGTACATTATACTATAACTTTTATAAGGAGCCCCCAAAACCCTATTCTAATCATTAAGGCCGCTACATTAGCCCACAAACCAAACTGGCAAGAAAAGAACCATCAGCTCCAGGGATTCGGGTTTAGGGTTTGGGGTTTAGGGTTTCGGGACTAGGGTTTAGGGTTTAGGGTTTGGGGTTTAGGGTTTAGGGATTAGGGTTTAGAGTTTAGGGATTATGGATTAGGGTTATTAGGGTTTAGGCATTAGGGTCTAGAGTATCCCCTTATCCCAGTCTTCCCTAGGGGCAGACCTCCTAGTAGATTGACTCCTGTACACCCAGACCAAGTACTCCCAAAGGCCACGAAACCCCCCCCCAGAATCCCAGAGCAGTCACACACCCAAGATCTAACCTTAAACCCAACCCTAAACCCTCAACCTTAAATCCTAAATCCTAAGCTCCCAGAGACTTCCCGACCCTTCCCAAAGTAGAACCCTCAATCTCAACTTCGAAACCATAAAACCCGTAAAGCCTACAACCCTGCTTCCCCTAAGCCCGAACCAACGTCCTAAGCCTTTAATATAGGGGCCCTAATGATTACAATAGCATTTTGGTGCCCGTTATAATACTGTCCTTGTAATAAGGAACCACCAACATAGTGGTAATCCCTAAACCCTAAACCTACCCTAAACCCCTACATTAAGTGCTTCCACGCAGGGATCCCTCCTAAAACGTCTGCAGCCGCTCTGAAACAAACCCAAAACCATGACAACTTAATACGGTTTAGGGTTTAGGGTTTAGGGGGTTTAGGGGTCCGGCTTTAAGGTTTAGGGTTTAGGGTTACTGCGCATCTCTATGAACAGCAAACCTAAACCCTAAACGCGCCTCCAACTTCGCGAGGGTCCAAGAGGCATCCTCGAAGGTCTCCACCCGGACGCCATGAAGACCTCAGTGGGTTTCGGGTCTCGAGATTAGGGTTAAGGGCCCCCAAAAGCCTAAAAAGTTGAGGGTTTAGGGTCTAGAGATGAGGGTTCAGAGTTGTTTTCAAGTATATCAACATAATTAAAAGGTTTTGGATGTTATAGATAGCAACTCTGTGGCCTTTGTTGTGACTGTCCGTCGTGAGCGTTTCGGGCTTTTGGGCTTCTGGCGGTTTTACCCAGACACACCCCAGGACTGCAAGCATCGAACATGAGAGCTGTTGCCGTACTCCTACTTGAAGGCTTCAACCCGAGCCCGAGCCCGCTAGGCCCGAAGCCCAAAAACAATGGAAAAGAGCATAAGGCCTCCCTCTTCAATGCTGCAACTAACTCTACGGCCTCTACCTTAGCCCTACCCCTTCAACCCGAAAGCCCTGAGCCCAAAGCCCCAAACCCAAACCCCCCTAGAATCCTAAACCGCCCGTGAACCGAAGCTCGATTGAGCCGTGCAGCTGAAAGTGGACGGCACGGCGATGTTCCTCGGTGTGCGAGACGATGCTCCCAACGAGCAAGGATCGGGCTACGGACTGTTTGGGGACACCCGAAGCCGAATTAACATTCAGGATTTATGGGTGCGCTTAACAGATTCGATAGTAAATGTCAATGTGGCCACCGACGAGCATGCCTGCCTTGATGTTCTTCATGCGCCAAGACAAGTTTTACCGCTTTGCTGCGCTGAGATAGTGTTCGAGGCATGACATGAGCCACTGGAAACAACTCATGACACGAAATTGTGAGTGAGTGAACTGTCGTCTTGTCGTCGCACTGACTTGATCCGCACACCGGCCTGGCGATAATCCGCGGCCGGAATGTCCCAGCTCTTCTTGTCGTATGGATCAGTCGTTCGGAGAACCACTGTTTCGGAGCCTATCCGAATCTCCCCGGATACTGCGCACGAAGTGTCGCACAACAAAGCGATTGTGGCAAATCCTCTCGGGGCTGCTTTGCGACCTCGCGGGTAGTAGGATAAGCGTGCGCTGACGGCAGCTCCAATATGAAATGTCGGACTCATGAGGTAGTCTGCCCTGACCATATGTCGCAGATCCTCCCGAGGGATCTCCCACACCTTGCATCCACCGATGCAGCTGCTGGACTCACTCTTTGACTCTTGCAAGATCTGGACCTTCTCCTCGAGTCTGTTAATACACGCGCGCTGTTCGTCAACCACTGTTCGCAGGTCGGAGCACATCTGGATAACTCTTGAGCAACAACCGACCATTCCGTGCAAAGCATCTTCGTTGCGTCGGTCCAGGTTGTAGGCCCTGCCATAGGCAAGCAATGCATCCTGCTTGTTTCCCATTGCATCGAAAGTTATTGCAGCATGCACAGCAAGACGAGCTCCCTGCTCCAGACGCTTTGCTGCAGCCAGCTGGTCGGCAAGTGCTAAGCAAATCGTCGGCTCCAGCTTGAGCTGCTGAACATGGTGTGGTGCCAGGGTGAGCTTAGGAAGAGTCTCTTCCGGAACCTTGCCGTGCTTTGCCAGTAGAAGAGGAACAAGAACATGCTCCTCCTCAATAGAACCCTCGATGTCCATGCTTTCCATAAATACTTGGAGCAAGCTGTCTCGCGTCAGCTCATGCATAGGGCTCACTGCCAGGGCTTGCAGAAGCAATCTCTTCTGCGCAGCCCGGTCTCCAGAGCGGCGCCTTGACAGCTCCAGGAACAGCGAGGCCAGAAAGCCGTGGTCACAACAGCTCTTCGTCCAGACTTTTAACTCGGAAATCTCATTCCAGGCGTCGGCATCTGTGCCAAAAAATAGACGCACTCGTGCTTCAAGATCCTCCACGGGAAGAAGCGTCTCTGTGAGGGTACTGGTCTCCGTCAGTAGCTTCTCCGGGAGGTGTGACAAGCAAAACGGAATCTTCTCGTGCAAAGCTGCCAGCACCAAGGTCGCCCCTTCCAGCCATGTGCCAGGATCCATCACAGAATCCAGAGAGCTAGAGGCCCGCGGAAGCACAAAATTCCAAAGTTTGCAAGCGCTATCTCTAGATGCCAGGTTCTTGGCAAGGCTACCATGAGCCTCCACGCCCGCTGCCAGCCTTGATGCATACAGTCTGTCCAGCTCTTCTGCACAAGCCATAGTCGGTCGAGCACTGGATGCGGCGCTTCGCATAATTTCTACAAGGTCGTCTTTGCGGTGCACTCTGCAGCTACGCAGAATCGGCCACACCTCCCACGTATAAAAATGCTGGAGGAATTGTCTCATTTCCATGGCCTGCGGGTTCTTGGCAAGCAGGCCGAGAAGCTGGGAAACAGCGACTGCTCGCTCAGAGGGCAGAGCAGCCTTCAGCTGAAGCACTTTGGCAAGCTTCCTGGCCCGGGAGTAACGAACTGTAGTAGAAACACTGGGCCTGCCTTGGAGCCTCCTGAACATATAAACTTGCCTTACACTCCCTCCTTGCGAGGAACAGCATCAACTTAACTTGAACCGATATCAAAGAGCATGCAAAATGAGCCCAGCTGCTTCTGGTATGCCCCGTCGCGAAGCTTGGGCTGGATGAAAGCCTCTGCTCGCTGCAAAAGCTTCTGCGCCTGTTCACTTGGCACGTGCGAGGCCACGGACAGAATCTCGTCGATGGTTTTCCTGGGCCGCATTTGGATAAGCCCCTCCAAGTTCAGGTGTTCAATGATTCGAACCACGTTGGTAACTCATAAGGCACCACCATACTTCCGACTTGGTACTTCTGAGGCTTATTTTACTGCTCTATACATATATATATATACACACATACAGACATACATATATATATATATATATATACATATGCACACGCTACATCATACTGTACTGTTTGAGAATTTGCACTCTTAGGGAGAGGAAAACACATCCGAGCCAACCCCCTAACCTGGTGAAGGTTCTCCTTGAAGTCGAAGATAGCCGCAACCTTCTCCTGATTGGGAATGACCTGCCGCAAACGTCCAGGCTCGACCGGTTTAGGGTTTAGGGTTTATGTTTAGGATCAGATCCTAGCAGCCCTATGGAGCAGCGCACCATCTTCCTGGTGAAAACGCTGTTGGCTTGGGGGGTTAGGGTTGAGGGTCAAGTCCGATGTGTGTATGATGTGTATATAGAACAATGTACATATACACACAGACATACTTGATTCGTTGTTGTTCACACGAGGGTTAAAGGTTTAAGGCTCGCTCATGTGCATATAGATATATACATATGCCCATACAATATTCACTTATTTATCTGTATATCTATACACGTACTTGGGCCAGTATTCTGGAAACACGCATCTGCAGATTGCAAACTGCAAGACATAGATTTGGAGCCTGGCTCAGAAGCCCAGGAGCGATAGCTTGGGAAGGCAGGGTTTAGGGTTTAGGGTTTAGGGGTTTAGGGTTTAGGGTTTAGGGTTTGGGGTGAAAGACGACTCACAATCACTGATTCCTTGGGCAGGCTCATATTACCCTAAGGGTCCATGTACACAAATAGTATATACTTCGGCCTTGAAGTAGTCCCTGTATAGGTACTTTGGGGCCTGGCCCACGGAACATGGCCATGGTACTGCTGTCTGCATGCTCACCGAGAAACTGGGCGCGTTACATCGGATCTTGAAAAGGCCCCCTAAACCCCAAACCCTAAACCCTAAACCCTAAACCCTAAACCCCCAAAAGAAAAGCCTGGACTGGACAGGTGTGAGACGACCTGGCACTGAAGCCTGGTCCTGTTATCTGGGATCCGAATCCTCAACAGTTCGAATAGGGCCTTGGGGTATATTGTACTACAAGGAACACCAAACTACTAGTAAAAGCTTGTTCATTCCATGGATTTAGGTATGTTGGGTTTCGGGCTTTTTAGGGTTTAAAGCGGCTGAGCAAAACGTTTCGAACTTCGGTGCCTCGACAAAACTTAAGTGGCCCAGCAAATCTAATCCACAATCTGGCTTTGCGTTCGTACCACGGCGCCAGCAATGCGCACCCTGCAGCCTTGCCTGAAACAAGCAGGACAAATCCGAGCAACCCATTCTGCGAGCGGTTGGTGTCTTTGGCATTTGTTTCCCTGTGCTTCAGAGTCTCATGTAAGAGCTCTGCGACTTATTTCACCCTGAACCCTAAACCCTAAACCCTAAACCCTATGGAAGCACCAAAGAGTCCGAAGTCCCTCAAGCCCGGAAAACTGTGGTCGTCCATCCTGCTACTCTGCACGGCCTGCAACTGGGTATGAGTCCGCCACCTTGCTGAACCCTACTAATGTAGGGGCCTTAATAATTAGAATAGGGTTTCGGGGTACATTCTACTAGATTTATAATAAGGACCCCCCAGAATAGTATAGGTAACTATGAAGGCCCCCACATACTACCTCAGACCCTACACACGACTCCCATAACACCCTCCCAAAGAGCCTTGGCGCCCATCGGCTCATTTGTCTTCGGGCTCTTCGGGCGCATATGCAACGCTTGCTCAATCGCCTGGCTCTTTTGGCTCTCGGCTCCGAGGTTCAAGGGCTAATATAGGGGCCCTAAGACGGATAATAGGGTTGTGGGGCCCATTATACTATAATTATGATAAGGAATCCACAAAATAGTATCGGCAACAATGTAGGCCCCTGTAGTACTTAAAGCTTCAGTGTTATGTGGTTCTGCTGTCATTCATGGTTTCAGGGTCCTTGGTTTTGAACTTACTGGCGTCCATGTACCTATCTCGTATAAACCTTGGCCCTATAGATTTAAAGGGCTCCTAAAAGCAGCCTTAAGTATATACTTGTAGATACCATAGAAGCAATATAGATATTAGTACTTAGAACAGGGTTTTGGGGTATAGTATACTGAGTGTTAAGGTTTACAGCCCCCGAGATGATGGACGGCCTAAACCCTAAACCCTAAACCCTAAATCCTAAACCCTAAATCCTAAACCCTAAATCCTAAACCCTAAACCCTAAACCCTAAATTAGTGACCCAAAGGGTTCCTAGGCTTTGCACTGCACGTGACTTGGGGCGTCCCAAGGCCTCCTTCTCATAGGTGAAGCCATCCTCGCTGAGAGGAGCTGCCTAAACCCTAAACCCTAAACCCTAAAACCCTAAAACCCAAAAAAGGGTTAGGGTTTAGGGTTTAGGGTTTAGGGTTTAAACCCTAAACCCATAACCCTAAACCCTGACCTTATTGTAAGGATACTAAGGCTGCCGCTTTAGTCAGAAAAAACAGGATTATACAGGATTCCAATCGAACCCTACACCCTGAACCCTGAGCCCTGAATGCTCACGGTTTGGGATCGTGATCTGCAGGTGGAGCACAGCAATCCGAGCAACAGGACACTATAAGCATATAACGTACCTTGTGCAAAAGAGCGTAAGGTATTTCGGATTGAGCTGCGCAGAATTTAGCGTGACTTTTGCAGCGCTGCATGGGATGCCGCTCTTCGTGGTTTAATGCTTATGAGGTGTACCAGGTTTGTCGGATTGAAGCTGTGTTGTTGCTCGTAGGCTGAACCCGCCTTTATACATCCAAGCCAGCCAATGCCTTTCCAAAACGCTCCGATAATCGCGAGCACCGCATGTCACTTCCGAAACAACCCCCACTATCGTCTGAGGATACTCCTTCGACAAGAGACTTTGTGGAGTACCTGCATTCGCGATGTCTTACACCATATTAGTCTACGTGTGCACCCCACACAAAATAGTTCACTTGGCTCTCCCCAGCTTTTCTCAACGCTTGCTGAACGCAAACTCGTGCCGATATGCAAAAGTCTTGTTGCAGCACACAAGTGGGACAAGCTGCGCGCAAACAGCAAGTAATTCTGCGCGAACCAAAAATAGACATGCCCTATACAAGTCCAAGAAGCCCAGACTACTGAAGCACGGAACCTTTGACCCTAAAATGCGGCAGATTCCGAAAGCGAGGTGCGGGGGAGGCCGGGAGGCCCATAAACCCTAAACCCTAAATGCCGGCTTGTCGTAGTATGGTGTTCAGGGGTTTGGCTTTGAGGTTGCGGTGGCTTGCGGCTTATAGAGCCTTGATGCAAAAGGGTTTCAAGCAATTCTACAGGCTTAGGGTTTAAGGTTACCAGGTTTAGGGTTATATAGAGCCTTGAGCTTGTAGATGAAGCAGAAGGGTTTCCTGCAGTTCTACGGGCTTGGGGTTTATATGGTTTAGGGTTCAGGGCCTTAGTACGAGACTCTGGAACAAACATGAATTACAAAGTCTCGGCTAAACCCTTTGATGGGCAAGGTCTTCGGCCAGAAACGCCCTACTCGTAGCCTGAATCCTAAACCCCAAGACAAAAAAAAACCTAAACCCTAAACCCTGAACCCTGAACCCTAAACCTTAAAACCTGATAACAACAACATCAAACCTCCGCCTCAGAGCCAAAGCCTCACCGTTAAGTAGCAAAGCCCCTCCTCCGCCACCACCGGCTGCTCCATGAGAGCGTGCAAGATGGGGCAGAGAAGATCGTCCGGATCCGAGAGGAGGCGGCTCACCTTTTTCAGTGCGTTGAGGTTTCCGTACGACCAGCTATCAGAAGCTTTCATTGCGCTGCAAAGGGTCTCGAGCTTTCTGGATCCTGCCTTTGACGGACTTTGGGATCTATGTCTTCTGGCTTCGGGTAAGGCTTCAGGTGAGCAAAGCCTAAGATTAAGGCGAAGGTCCGTCTGCATCAGTGAGCAGCAAACTGAAGGAACGTTAGCTACATCACTTGTGGAAGCAGCAGAAAGAAGTAGCTGTAAGCCTAAGATTTGGGAGTATGGGTGAAGAGCTTGGCATGTTTCTGACTGTTGTTGAGTGACTCGCCACTTGTTTGGAAGGTATTTCATTCCGAATGGGGCTTGCGACTTGCCTAGAGAGCTTAGGCTAACGGCATCTTCACAGACATTTTTGTACCTACCAGTCCAGGGATTCCAGATATGGGTTTGGCTCTCCCGTTTGTGCGTGAGGCCGTGTGGATCTTCAAAGTATTAAAAAATTTAGGTGTGCAAGGGAGTAAGGTTTCGGGCTGTGGACTTTACGGCCCTCCTTTAAAAACTACAGGCAAGGTTTAAAACCAAATAGGATGTGAAGAGTTCCCAGCATGGTCCTGCATGAAGGAATGCTACCATGCCTTACTACCTGAATCCCTAAACCCTAAACCCTAACCCCCTAAACCCTGTGACTATGGGAATGCGGAGTCTCGGTACGATAGATGTGCAGTGTTTGGGATGGTTTGGGGGTTGTCGAGCTGGGGCCCTAAACCCTAAACCCTAAACCCTAATTAAACCCTAAACCCAAAACCCTAAACCCCTAAACCCTAAACCCTAAACCCTAAACCCTAAACCGTGGTTGCTGATTCTCCAGGCCAGCTGCTA